CAGAATCTTCAAGCGGAATTTGCCAAACTGGCCCGAGATGTCCGCGCGGACATTAAAGAGATAAGTGCACGCACCGCCATATTGGAGGATAAAACAGAAGAAATCATAGACGCGCATAACAACCTAGCCGCAACCTGTGAAACCCTTGAAAACCGACTTACCTTTTTGGAGGCTTAGGTAGCGGATCATGAAGATCGCGACAGACGTAACAATATTCGCCTGCGTGGCATACCAGAGGAAATCAAACCCTCTGAATTAAGAGACTATGCTATAGGCCTTTTCAAGGCCCTCTGCCCAGAGCTTAGTGACGCCGACCTCTGTCTAGACCGCATTCACCGCCTGCCGCGGCCTAAATACTTAGCAGCAACTACGCCTAGGGATGTAATTACGCGCATGCACTACTTCACTTCCAAAGAAGCAGTATTAAGAGCGGCAAGAAACCCTGACAGCATACCAGCCGAATTCCAAGGAGTGAAGCTATTCGTGGACCTTTCTACAACAACCCTGGCGAAACGTAAAGCACTGGCACCAATAACTCAAGCACTCCGGGAAGCAGACATCCTACATAAATGGGGCTACCCAACACGCATCATCATAAGGCGAAATGGAGTGGAACACCAAATACAATCAGTAGAAGATGGAGCCCGACTACTAAGCGAATGGAATTTACACATCGCACCTCAAGACACGAAAGACTCAGCGAGCAGAGCTAACAAGTCGCCCACAAAAGTCTCTAAGGACTGGTCCACTGGGACAAGACATAAATAACACAAGACTAATGTTAACGCATCGGGCTGAACAGCCCAGCCTAACACATCATCTTACCGCCTAGATACGTGAGCATGCTCCATGTCTGTGTAATTGTCTTAAATGTTTTTTCATTGTATATGCCTAGTACGTGGTTAACAGAATACCTAGCATAACAGACACGTAGCCATCAGTCACAACCTAGTGTGGAGATTGTTGTAGAATTATTAGGCCTCTATAAATCTGTAAGGCCCCTTTAAATCCTCTTGCTATACCTCTAAGAGGCCCCCATAGTTTTACAAGAAAGCTTTGTCTATAGAACATAGAATTTGCATGTCAGCAAGAAATAGCTTTGATAAAATGTGTATTTACTAAAAGCCTTGAAACCTAACCTTGAGAAACTAACAAGTGCCAGCTACGCTCTAAATGGATAGCTGCCAAAAGGCCCCTCCCGTCGAGTGAGCTCCTCATGTTAGCAAAATGGCGCTAAAACCTGGAGGAGAAAAAGCATGACGAAGATAGTGACTTAAGATGGTACACCCCATAGGGAGGGCATTTTACTAACATCTTAGCACCTAAGCCAATTAACAATGTCTATTTGTCTATATCTTGATTTTCTTCAATGATGTAATAATGCCTTTAAAAGGGTCTGCGCACCCATTTTCTGTCAGAAGCCATTAAACTTCTCCGAAGTTCTTTCATTACCCTGAACTTTGTGTCTCAGTGTGAATTTACTTCTGCGTGCACGCAACTTTATTATCTTTAATTTGGACAGGAACAGATAGTCATTCAAACTAATTGGTTTGCAGTAAATTATCTACTACAAGATGATAGATAAAACTCAGATTAAACTTACACAGAGATGGTCTATATGGCATCTCAAGTTCAAACCAACGCCTATATGGGCAGTTAAATACCCACAAAGGTCACCCTCCCCCATTGTGGCTCCATAGGGCCGACAAAGACCTCGTTGTGGTCTGATACACAGTATCTGACCAAAAATCTGTACATAGTTTCCCAGTGGGGAGTTACCCCTTCACACCCCCGACCTCCCTCCCACACCTCACTTAATACTAAAAAATGTAGGTTGCTAGCCTTGGATACCCAATATCATGATACGGATGTCATGGGTGAAACCGCACTACACAGAGGCCTACTCAAGGTCACCCAGAACAAGGTGCAGATTCGAGAAACATACCTTCTTATTTCCACATTACACTGCAAGAAGAAGAACATCCCCACCCCATCCTCATGGCGTTAGTAGTTTTTTCACTCAACGTCAAAGGCTTAAATACACCACACAAAAGGAGATTAGCTCTCGAGGAAGCCAAAAGGATGAAGGCCACAGTGGCTTTCTTCCAGAAAACCCACTTCCTAAACTCCAAACTGCCCAGGTTCTCATCAAAATAATACCCGATAGGATATCACACTGGCTACTCAAAAAAGAAGAGAGGAGTCTCCATATTATTCAGCAAAGATGTGGCTTTTTCATTGCACAAGAAGATTGGAGACAAGGAAGGACGCTTCCTTCTGCTCCAATGCCTTATAAACAATGATCCATACACTTTTATAAATGTTTATGGCCCGCATGATAACCAAAAGGCGTACCTAGACAAAATCCTAACACTAGCAGACACATACCAATTTGGGACGCTGATCATAGGGGGAGACACAAACTTTATTTTAGACGAACAATACCTCCTCTACCCTACACGTCACGCAAAAAACAAAGACTAAACGTACCGCATCCACGACCACTACCAGAACGCAACTGGCCAATTCGGGTTATGTAGATATATGTAGAATCCTACACCCTTCAGAAAAAGACTTCACCTTTCATTCTCAAGTACATAACTCCTACTCAAGAATAGATAGATTTCTCATACACAACGCAACAATCCCAGCAATTCAATCCACCAGTATAGCGACCATCACGTGGTCAGACCACGCACCAATCATCCTCACCATGGCAACTCGATTCCCTACTAAAGGACGAGGTTCATGGCGCCTAAATGAATCTTTACTACGCAACCCCCAAATTATTACGCAAATAAAAACAGAATTAGAAGCATATTTCCACACGAACGCTAACGCAGACATTTCCATAGATACACTGTGGCGAGCGCATAAAGCCGTGCTCAGGGGCCTGTTCATCAAACATGCTAGCTACGCCAAGAAGCAAAGATTACACACATACAATGCCCTGATCCAACAAATAACGACCCTTACGCACACAAACAAAACAAACCCATCGCCAGAACATTATAACACGCTGAGAACATTACAAGCACAATTAAATGAATTTGAACTGGACAAAACAAACTACATTCTCCAGAAGTATAAACATAAATTCTTTGCACAAGGGAACAAATCAGGCAAACTTCTAGCGTCCAAGTTAAAGGCCCGCATGGCCAACCCTAGAGTGGCATACATAATGGCACAAGGGAATAAGAAACTCATGAACCCGCAGGACATAGTAGAAGAATTTGCACAATACTACAGCTCGCTATACAATCTCAAAGACGACCCCACAACAACCACACCGACCAAAACACAAGTACGAGAATACTTAGACACAGTAACACTACCTACACTAACTCAGACAGAAATTGACACAATAACTAAGCCAATCACAACAGAAGAACTGAGGAATACAATATCGAAACTACCCCCTCATAAGTCCCCAGGCCCAGACGGTTTCACCAATCTGTACTACCAAACCTTCTTAGAAACCCTAACTCCACACCTCTCCAAGCTCCTAAACCACTACTACACTAAGGGCGAAATGCCCTCTGAAATGCTGCAAGGACACATATCAACACTCCCGAAACCAGGCAAACCTGCGACAGTCTGCCAGAATTTCAGACCCATCTCTCTACTCAACTGTGATACAAAAATCTATGCAAAAATTTTAGCTAACCGCCTTCAAAATATACTGACCCGCATAGTACATAACGACCAATCAGGCTTCATCAAAAACAGACAAGGGTCAGACAACACGAGGAAGATCTTAAATATCCTAGCCCACATGGAGACACACAGAACAGAGGGCCTCCTTCTGGCATTAGACGCCGAAAAGGCCTTTGATAGGCTAAACTGGGAATACATGGAACAAGTACTTCTCAAGTTTGGTTTCCCTAGCTCATTTATCAAGGGCATAATGGCACTACATTCCAAACCATGCACTAAAGTCACTAACACAGGCTTTATTTCGAACCCCTTCCACATCACCAACGGCACTCGCCAAGGATGTCCACTCTCACCCCTATTATTTATGTTCTCACTTGAACCTCTGGCTTACAAGATTAGAGCCCACACAGACATTGCGGGAATCCCCGTAAAACAGGCAGACTACAAATTGTCCATGTTCGCAGACGATGTCCTTATCTCCCTTACGAGACCAGACCACTCCCTGCCGCACCTTATGAACACATTGGAAGAATACGGCAAAATTTCTTATTATAAATTGAATCAGGCCAAAACCCAAGCACTTCCCATACGTCTTCCTGCAACAACCGTACAAACGCTGAAAAAGCTGTACTCGTTTGATTGGAGACAGACCCATGTAACATACCTAGGGGTAAAAATAGCCGCCACATATAGAGGACTTAACACCTTAAACTTTTCCACACTACCACACATGTGCAAACAGATCCTGTACAAGTGGAAAGATGTCATGCTATCATGGCTGGGCAGGATCAATGCCGTGAAAATGATATGTGTTTAGGATGCTCCCAATACCTCTCTCCCCCACATTAAGCAAACAAATTCAAACGATAATAACAAACTACGTATGGGAGAACAAGAAACACAGAATACCACTGATTCTTATACAAACGCCCACCAAAGAGGGCGGATTGGGATTCCCTAGCATAGCAACATATCACAGAGCAGCGGTTCTCGAAAATGCGATAAAACTACACGCTCCACCCCGCACGCTACAATGGGTAGATCTCGAAAACAAATACGACCCCACAGGCTCAGCGGTAAATCACATGTGGACGCCTAAACAAATGCGGGACAAACGCAAGGAACTGTTACCACTTACCAAACATTTGATACAGACTTGGGACCACCTACACCGTGCACAGAAAACAGAGAGCAAATTCTCACCTTGGGCTCCCATCACGGCTCTCACCTCTGTATCACCCTGGTTGTCCCTAGACAAATGGAGGGAACTTGGGGTAACCCGTATTATAGATATATGCCACCAGGGGGCTATACTACCCTTCCCAGAACTCCAAAAAACACATAAACTACCACCATCCTATATCTTCCCGTATCTCCAACTTAAAAGCTTAATTGCTAATAAGGTAGCACCCCCAACATCACACATATACTCCACAGACCATGACCTATTATCACTGTACGATAGGTGCCACAAATCACCGATCAGACCGAAGATGCTCTCATTGAGCTACACAGCTTTAAGAAACCAAACTCCACACCCAGAGTTCAAATACCGATCGCAATGGGAAAAAGAATGCGCAATATCATTCACGGACAAGCAATGGACAGAATCGCTCCAAGCCCTAAAAGGAATCACCACGTGTTATTCACATGTCGAAGCACATAAAAAGCTACTCTACAGGTGGTACTACACACCTGACAAACTCCACAGAATTTACCCCCACACCTCGGCCAACTGTTGGAGATGTGAGACGGAACGAGGCACAATGACCCACATCTGGTGGAATTGTCCGATTATTACACCCCTATGGACGGAAGTCCACGAGACATGGCAAGACTTGGGGATCAAACAACTACCACTCACACCCCAACTGGCTCTCTTCCTCCAATACCCCAGCTCAATACCTTACACGGACAAACACCTGACAGTGATAATGATCCTAGCAACCCGCAACCTCATAGCGTGCCACTGGAAAAAAACAGAATGCCCCACCACCACAATGCTACAACACAAAATTAGACAATACCTCCGATATGACTTGCTCACAGCTACCACTCACAAACAGGCTTCTACCACGCTCCTTAACTGGCAAAGGTGGACAGACTGGGTGGCTCTTAAGGGGGCCGCAGACGAGACCCCAAATACTACTATAGATTGACACTATAGATTGACACCAATGACTATAGGCTGTTGACAGCCAGAATACTCGAGGCCCGTCAATAGATCTCTAATACAACACAAGGCAACAGAATAGGGCAAATTGTAATAATAATAACAAAAATACAAAGAATAATAACAAATATAGTAAAATAGCACAAAAGTAATCAAGTGACAAAAGCCGCAGTACAATATAATGCACAAAAATGTAACCAACTGCATCCTTGTACCTCTGCACCTCAGTAATCCGATACCTCAGATCATATATGTATATGTGCTAATATAGACTGTGTATGTATCTATGCTTACTTAAGATGATCAAACAGACAACGTGAAAGAAAGGTGTATTTGAATGTCCCCCCCTTCCCCTCCCTTCTTCCTTTCTGTACCCTACCCTGGAATTTTTTCAATAAAATAAAATACGAATTGAAAAAAAAAAAAGTGAACCAGTGGAACTTGATAAAAAAAAGATCAAGAATTAGTGTTATATAAAAGCATGTCAGCCTTTCCACTTGCAAGTAATAAAGCAAGTATTGTTATTTTTTGGTGCAATTACATTGTGCTGTTACAGAGACAAATAAAGCAATGTATTGTTTGAAACATATTAACTGAATTTTAAGAAGAATGTTTGGGAAATCTTAAGAGAAAGGAAAAAAATGATTACTATAATAACACATTCATTGTAACGAACCATTAATTTCCCTCTAACTATACCCCGGAGGTTTCAGCACAGTTTCACAAAAGCATCAACACTGATATACAATTTGAGGCTAAAAGCTCAATTTACCCTTCAACAGCCCAGTGATTATACCCATGTTTTATAGACCAGTGTTCATCAACTAGCATGTGTTTTTTTCTAGCATGGATTTTATTAGAAATTCTATCAGTGGTAAAATTAGTTCTGTTTTTCAGCAAATAGGACATGATCCCAGTGGACACTTTAAAACGTGTGCCACTAATGTTAATCTCAGCAGTTTACACTTTCATCTGTAGTGTGAGGTTTCTACATTCCTAAAAAAATAAAATAAATAAAAATGAACAGAAAGTAATTATTTGATGCCCACGGCAAACTCTTGATAAACAGTAAGATGATGACCTCGTTATTACTTACTGGTTTTGTTCTACAGATTTCACGTTCTATTTCTCTTTTGTTTTGTTTCATTTTTCACTGCATCAAACAGATTTCCAGAAAATCATTTTTTTTTCTTAAAAATGTATTTCTTCCATTATTTATTAGGTGTTTTTTTTTAAATTCATTACAAAATAAAAGCAAAATAGAAGGTATTTTCCAAAGATCTGAGTTGGTAACCAAATGACAAAATTATAGAGACTCAGTTGGTTATAACCACCCAAATAATTTAAAAAAAAATATATATATAGGCAATGAAGATAAAACCATGGATAGATTTAGAGATTTCAGTTTAACATATAAACATTTTGATAACTGCATTAGCTGCCTGTGGGCTCATTGTCTTTGAATTTATTATTTCTCCGTACTTTTTTTGGCATATGGATCGAGGATATAGGAGAGAGTCAGAATTAAATCCTCTATATTTTATTGTTATGATTTATGTCTATTTCCTTGTTTCATTTGATTTTGTACTATTTTAACATTCATTAGAAAATGTTGAAAGCTGGTATAGTTTCTATATTTTGTTTCTTTATTATCTGTGTGGAAAACGCGGTACAGATTTCAGATTTGCCCCATTTCATGACATTAGCAACAAGCTTTTCTAGTTCTTCACAACTATTTAATTTGTCATCTAGATTCTCTTCATGCTATTGTAACAGTAAATGCACTTTATATCCATGGTCATAGAGCTCTTTTCCCATTATAGTTTCACGATAGTTTAAAATTAAAGATGTTTTGAAGACTGTCATCTTTGAATTGATGATTTTGAACTCTCTAAAATGTAAGCTCTGTAAAAGTGACATCTGTTTTTAAATACAGATTCACCAAATATTGGCCTAAAATATAGTATTTAGTTTAAAATTATTTACATTTTATGATGTTTGAAGTCTGTAACCCATAAATATGAGCAATCATTTGTACCTTCCTTGGTGACACTCTATCCAGTTTCAGGTTACTTGGCCAAACACATTTATATAATGAGTGCTTTGGTCCATCCTGCTGCTGTCTTCAATTTTCAGGTCGTGGGGAAATACAGGTGAGCCAGTTACCTGGGAATGTACACAGCTATAGTACAAATACTACTCTCCAGAGGAGGACATTCAAGTGATAAAGGAAAGTTCCTAGTGTGCTAGGAAGCTATTATAGATATTGAATTAAGTTTGCTGAAATGGAGAGTGAGCAAAAAGGGAGAAGAACAGGAAAAAGGCAAGGAAGGATAGAAAGTTAAAAAAAATAATAGCTGGTAAAACACTACTAAAGGCCATATAGAAGTGCAGCTATTACTGAAGAAAAATCCCAAAAATGGATCAATGTGGGAAGCAGTGGACAGGAGTCAAAAGCAACACTATTGTTCCTCTGCCAAGTGGACCCGCCATATGCTTAGAGAAAGACACCATTATGGCTCCCATAATGGTGGGGGACGATGACACTGTGTCTGGTGCTGGAGCAGAAAACCATAATTGACATGCTCCATAAGGAGGGAAAGCCTCAAAAGGTAATTGCGAAGGAAGTTGGATGTTCCCAAAGTGCTGTATCAAAGCACATTAATAGAAAGTTATGTGGAAGGGAAAAGTGTGGAAGAATAAGGTGCACAAGCAGCAGGGATGACTGCAGCCTGGAGAGGATTGTCAGGAAAAGGCCATTCAAAAGTGTTGGGGACTTTCACAAGGAGTGGATTGAGGCTGGAGTCAGTGCATCAAGAGCCACCACACACAGACGGATCCTGGACATGGGCTTCAGATGTCGTATTCCTCTTGTCAAACTGCTCCCATATAAAGTTAACAAATGTAAAAATAAATAAATATATATATATGTATATCCATTTATAAAATTTGATCATGATCGCTTCCAGCCGCTCTAACACTTTAAGATGTTGAGGCATCCTGCAATACCCACCTCGGAGCGATCATTTCCAGGTTGCTCCAAGTGGTGCCCGGCAGTGAGGCAGAGCATCGGAAGCCATCAGGCAGGCTTCAGACGCTCTGCCTGTGTGCTGAGTGCCTCGAGGGGTCCAGGCACTCAGCAAAGATAAAATAATTAAAAAAATAAATGTAAAAAAATTAAATACATGTTTTAAACCCCCCACCAGTACCTCAAACTTACCTAGTAGGTCAAAGGTAATCCTAATTACTTACCCGATCGACACCGTTCCCCCGTCAGTCTTCTTCTCCACTGGAGGGACTGTCTAAAAGCCCAGACAGTCCCTCCTCTGCAAAATAGGACCCCAAGGGCCATGTGATCACTCTGAAAGAGCAGTCACATGGCCACAATAGGCACCCATAGTGTTGCCTGTCAGTTCAGGCAGTCCCCCTGCTGGTGAAAAAAAAGTTAAAAAATAAAGTTAATAAATTTAAAAATAAATAAATATATATATATATGTATATCTATATATAATATGTATATATGTATCTTATATATAACATCATACTAAGTGTGTTTTTTTATTAATATATATATATAGTAATATAAAAATACACTTAGAGTAAAATTAAACACGCAAATATATAAAATATATAATAACTATATATATTGTGTGTGTGTATATATATATATATATATATATATATATACTCCAACACATGAACATAAATTCAAGGGCTGCACTCACGGTCTGAATGATGAAACTCTTATTTTATTCCATAAGAAAGACGAACAGGATCACCGTTTCGGTCCGCACAGGGACCTTCCTCAGGATCAAATGACATACAGTACACCCAAAACGATATTACATATATAGCAACATTAATTATGGATTTAACTTACCACACATGAGAGCTCAAGATACCGGCATTCTCCGTCTAACAGTGCGCATGCGTGAAGTATCCACGTCATGATGTTGACCGGCGGCTTCCACGCACTGACGTCATGAGACACCGTTACCATAGTAACAGTATCGCATCATAATAGATGCCTCTCTACATGTGATAAAAACACAATGACTGTAACCAAAAAAAGAATATACAGAAAAAGAAACATATTTAATGATACATTCATTTAAAATCATGTAGCAATGTGCCACATAGGATGCAATTTCTCGAGCACTATTCAGCCTTACCCTTAATCTAATTCCTTTATGTGAATATAATAAATCAGAATATTCAAAATTCTTATTTGCAGTAATTAATAAATTCTGAAAGTGCCATGTGCCTGAAAAAACCTACCTGGTTTTGTATATATATATATATATATATATATATATATATATATATATATTTTTATATATTATAAAAAATAAATAATTTTAAAAAATGTAAAAATGTAAAATTAAAAAAATATATATATGTAATTTTATTTTAACTGTAAATAAATATTAATATATATATTTATATCAAATACACTTAAAATGAAATTATATATATATATATATATATATATATATATATATATATATATAGAAATAAATAAAAATAATCCAAAATATACACATGTCCATATACATAATTACATAAATAATTTCATAAATATATATATTTAAATTCTACGTGCATATTTATGTAATATTTTTACATAATTAAGTACTTTTATTTATTGCAATTTGGGGGACCTGCCTTACAACCCAGGCCAAAAGTCCAGAGAATTTAATTTGCTAGCACTATTTTTAACCCTGTAACTTTCCAAGACACCCTAAAACCTGTACATGGGGGCTACTTTTTTTACTCTGTAGACTTCGGTAGACTATTGAACACAAATATTAGTATTTTTAAAGCAGTAAAACATATCACAGCGATGATATTGTCAGTGAAAATGAAGTTGTTTTGCCTCTTTCACACACAAATAGCACCTTCACTGATAATACCATTGTTGTGATACATTTTACTGTTCTGAAACACTAATATTTGTGTTCAGTGAAGTCTCCCGAGTATCACAGTACTCCCCATGTACAGGTTTTA